GAGTCACCAGATGCAAGATACCTATATATTGTAGGAACACAAACTAATATAATATAAAACTAATGCTAAAGCAGTTGAGCAATAGTTTCGTTAGAAAATTTGATGGATAAATGTTAAACAAACCTTAACGTTATTGCCAAACGTTCTTTCGATCCAATGGATTCCCGAACAACATTTTGTTTCACTAAGTACGGTCCAACAATCGACATTAATTGTTCCAACTGTGTTGTTGACATTCGGAAGTAATTATGGAACCGTACTCCATCATCTACAGTCAGTTTGGGAAGAAATACATGATAGAAACCATGCTCCAGACGATCTCTTAAATACGGTGCTACCCAATATTGTTTCTTCTTGTAAGCTCTTTTTTTTCGAGCAACATTGGCATCTTTGCATTTAGAACCTGTGCTCGTCGTTTCCTAACCTCTTTCGCTATTGCCATCACCAATGTCTTTCGTCTGCTCGCCGTCAACATACGATTAAAACCGTTTAAATGCACTTCTACACGCATCGTTATATATATTTATATTAAATGTATAATTTAAAAGCAGATGCATGCAAGATGAAGTAATGACACACCGGGAATTATTTTTATTTTAAACCGACAACTCAGACACCCAAAAAACGGATCCAGCAATTTTACGCTCCATGAAAAGGTAGTGGGAGAATAGCGAACAGCTTTTGGACGCTCCTTTAGATTATGGTAGAGTGGGGGTAAAACGCCAGCTTTTCTTCGCTGCATGAAATGGCACCTTAATGGGTCCAGCGGGTCACCTGGTGAAATTTTCAATGTCCAGGTTATCGGACATGAGATCCGTCCGCCCGTTTTTTGACACGAGCGGGACGGCTATCGAATGGATGCTTAAGAGGTCATCCATTGATGTTGATCAAATATTGGCCGAAGAGTGGCCTTCGGTGTCGACCCCTCTGAGGGTGCGTGAAGGGGACTCTGCTGAATCAGGCGAGGAATCGGATGGTCCAGCGGGGTCACGAGCCTCCCGTAGGAGGTCGTCCGCCACTCTGGCTCGCGACTTGGAGGTGGAGGGGAGGGCGATGGGGAGAGGAACCCGTGGCGGGTCCCTCCTCCAGGGTCTTCCCACAACGGGACGGATCTCGGGGGCCATCGGAGAAGAGAAAGAGGAGTCGGGCGAGACCGAGGAAGGATGGCTCGGGCCCGTTTCGGTCTCCCTCGATCGACTCCGATGCATCCATCGGGACGCGAATGAGGGGAAGGGTGATGGAGGGCTTTCGGCGGGCCGCCTCACCCAACCGTGTCCGGGGACGAGGATGCGGGAATGGTGGACGCGCCTTTGCGCAGAGTCCACATCCCCTCCTCCTCATTCTTCACCCCGGTCCAGAGGAGAGAGGTGGCCGGTGCATTGCGTTGCTCCACGAAAGTTCGACCATAGATGTCGTCGGCATGGCCGATAATTGGTTGGCTGAAGCGGAGTCGGCGTGTGCCCGGTCGGGATCGCTGCAGGGTGGCTTGAGTGGCAAACTCAAGATGGCCCTGCATCTTTCCAGGGAGGCCGCGCTTCTGCTGGCTGTAGGGCGATGTGGACATCCGTGTCGACCGCGACCGACGTGGACCGAATCGCCGTACTAGGCCGGCAGAACACGGTACTCAGAGGCGAGATGGATCGTCTCCAAGGGGAGCTGGATAAAGTACAAAGCTGGTGCAGGTACCTGAGGAGAACGAGGGAGGTACCGGGTGCCTCCGCGTCGGCGAGGGG